TGTTTACAGACTCTAACACATAGACTGAAAGCATCTTTGCTCCTTTGTTCAATCCAGTGTGAACTGTGAGGTAAGGGCAAAAGGATGTAGGGTCATGGACATCTGCTGTGGTCCCCCTTTGCACTATTGAGATCCACTTCTTTCTCATGTTAAGTTCTCAGAGGCCTATTATTGATTCTTCAAGGTGGCTGGCTTTCTTTTTCTTTCTTTCTAAGAAAAATTTTATTAGGAAAGAGTTGGTAGGACAAGGTAGAGTACTCCCTGTGGCAGTTATTTCTGAGTCTGAAATAATATTCATCATTATATTCTTCTACAACTCTCCCATCTTCCCTTCACTGTTGACCATCATATTTGCTGACCTATGCTGCTTGCCCAGGACAGTCACTATGATCGTCATCCTCCAGGGGTGAACTCATTAGTTTCCATTCTTTATGGAATAGAATGGCAGTTATTGCTTTCTCCTGCATATGGTCATTAACAAACCTGAGAGCATCAAGAGATGCCCTGAGGAATCCCTTCAGTTACAGATACTTCTCCCTGCTTGTCTTATGCAGCAACAACCCTAGCTCTTCATGATAACTAGGTTTAATAGCCCTTGCCAATAGAGTGATTTCTTTCTTTGCCTGATAGACTTCTGACAGGGGGAACCAAAGATAATTTCATGGCAACTATGATTTTAGGTTTAGTAGAATCCTAAATGGTCTTCTGTTAGAGGTGTATATACCCTACCCCATCATGGAAACCAGGGCCTCCACTTGCACAGAGCTTCTGGGGATTAGGGGAATAAAAAGAACAAATTTCAAGAGAATCATCAAGAACTTTAGTAAGAGGGGTCCTTCCTACTTTCACCCTTTGGTTCCCAGACCTATATAGTTTATCTACTGAAGCCAACAATTTGACTGTTAGTTCAAAGTAAATATCAAATCTAGAAGAATAGTGCTCCACCACCACTGGATATTATCCCACATTGTGTTTTTAGAAATCCATTCTAATGTTTTGCTAATCTTGTAACTTCTTTGTGATACATATATGGTAGGATAAATGAATCCCATGGTCATAAAGCCTGAGCAGTAAAACTGCTCACAGTTCAAACCTGCTTCAGAGTCTTCTTTCAGGCTGGGCTTTAACAGTCAAGCTGAAAGTTAGAACTGTATGTGCTGATATAGAAGAGACTTTTTAAAAAAAAGTTTTCTATTTCAGTATAAACACATACTAAAATTTTTTTAAATTATAAACAAACTACTTGATTAATTTATATAAATATTCCCAAATACAGCTAACATTTTTACAATAATTTGTTATTTTCATAAACCAGTGATGGTTGAACTCCATTACTATAGGGATTTGAAAAAAATTTTAGGCCAATCCAAGCCCCAGAAACATAGCAATTTTTAGAGTATAATCTTAACTCATTAAGTCCCAAGTTTTCAATTCTGTGAATATTTTAATGAAATTGAAACAGGTGCATTAAAAAGATTGGAAATCATAATCTACAGCTTATTATATGATTTAGTATCATTAATACTGTTAATGATACCATTAATAATGTTAATATTATCATAATCATTTATCTATTACTTTTCTCAAAAGATCAGAATTCTAAAAACATAAATATTTATTTCAGAGTTACTATAAATGGTATATTTATTGCTCAATTTAAGTTTTTTTAGGTCTTCTGTAAGTGGAATGATGGGACATAATGGATTAATTCAACATAGTCATAAATTTGTTTTGTCTTTCAATATGAGATGTATGAGTTCTGTTGAACTAATACAGTTTTGTTCTCTTCTTTGTATCATAATGGAATTCAACATGTACATATTTGATACATACGTATATACATATATCTAAAATTTCCCTTTCTGTCATTTTTTTAAGGCTAATTTCACTTTCACAGATCCACCAGCTCAAAGGATGAGGGAACATATGCTTCGCCATATGCCCAACACAGACTCCTCAATGCATTTTATTACTCAGAGCTTAGTGATTTAGGAATGTTTGTACTATTTTATTTTTCCTCATAGTGAGTCATTCTACTGTACATTTCAAAATTGTGATAAGTTGAAAGATCCAAGAACTGAGGTATGTTTCAACAAACAGCTTTCCATCTGGTAAATGAGAGATTTTATTTATAACCAGGTATGCAGTTACATTGGAAAGAAATGACATTCAAATTATTTTGTTTTGTTACATGACTGAAGGGCTGAGTAAAAACACTAACCACCTCCATCCCTTCTTCACTGCAAACAGATCAGGAAATTCGTCTACCTTAAACGCTTCAGCAGATTCCAAATCCCCACCTTGGTATATGAGGAGGACCTCCATGATCCAGTTCCAGCCTCCTTCTTCAAACTGTTTCTCCAAGATCCCCTTCCGTTAACTGCAGCCAAACTGGGGTTTTTCAGTTCTGTCCTTAAGTCAGCTCTCAATTTGAGCACAACATATTGATAGGAAACATTAAAAAACAAAGTTGATTTAAATACATAACTTACTAGCAACAGTTTTTCCTCTACTATCCCTCAGGGGAGCTTCTCTAAGTCAGCATTTATGGTTTATGATGGAAGTAGTAAGGATGAGTATTATATCTTTTGGTACCACATTTGGAACTTCTCCAAACACCAGAACTCTCTGGGACAGATAATCAGAACTCCTGGGATGCTTATAACTGGTGGACTTGATTCCTCCAGCCTGAGGGTTAAGTAACTCCCCTCTTCTCTCTTCACTACCCAGCCAGAGCAGGACTTTCCCTAGCTAACACAGCCTACCAAGTGCCTGAGCAGTTTGCACGCTTCCAGTTATGTTATCGGAGCTTCATATAGAGTCTGAGTCTGTCCAAATTTTAAGCACAGGCTGAAAAATTTTGTGGGTCCGAAGGTATGAATTGTTCTGATGCAAAGCCAAGCAAAGGAAGAGGTACTTTCAGACTTCTTCATTTTATATCCTCAAATTCTCTTGATTTTGTTTAATTCATACTTTTAGCAAAGCATTTTTTTTTTCTTAAAACTTTGCCTACTCATTTAGTAGCAGACAAGTCAATCAGCTAATGTTTATAGAGAGTTTAAATATGCTGAGTTTGGGAGCTTTAAGGTATATAAAATGAATATCTTCAGAGACTTGAATCTGGATAGTGAAATAAAGTTTTGAAGAAATAATCAAGTGCTAAAATATGAATGCTTGTCATAAGTGTTTTAATTCAGAGTGATACCGCTGTGAAGAGAAAATTTTAGTCAAGACTTCTCAGGGGAAAAAAGTGGGAATTTTTGTTGTTGTTGTTGCAAATTCAAGATTGGGTAAGATTAAGATAAAGATTCAGGGTCGTAGAAAATTCACTGAGTGAATGGTGTCTTAGCTCAGGCGGTTATAAAAAACAGACCATATTTCTGATGACTTAAGCAAGAGACATTTATTTCTCATAGTTCTGAAGCCTGGAAGTTAGGTTATTAGCAAGGTCACATTCTGGTGAGGACCTTCTTTCAACAGCCAACTTCTGATATCTTCATGGTAGAAAAGGGCAAGGAAGTTCTTTGACCTCTTCTATAGTGGTATTAATCTCATTCATGAAGATTCTACCCTCATGAACCAATTATAATCCAAGAACCCCATCTCAAGATATCATCTTATTGGGGTTGGGGTTTTGAATTTGGGGACAACATAAACACTCAGTCCATTGCAAGTATCAGCCAAGGCTGACCTGCATGGGCACAAAGACATGGAGACCACAGATGGTGCTAACTCATTCTGTTTCTACTACCTGTGTCCCCAAATGCACTGCCTACTACAATGGTTCCTAAACTTTAACATGCATCTGCTTCTCTTAGAGAGAGCTTGTCAAAATGGATTTTGCAGACCTACCTCCCAAATTTCTAGTGGAATAAGGCTTGAGAATTTGCATTTTAAACAAGGCCTCAGGTAACGCTAATGCTTCTGGTCTGGGGCCCAAGCTTAGAAAACCAGAAGTCTTGACTGTGTTGATAACTGGATGGCTCACCACTCAGTCAACAGCATCCCCTAATGTTAATACCACAAATTGTCTCTCTTAGTTATACCTCTTCAGTCTGGAGCATCCAGTCCTCTCATTCACAATTCTGCATTCCTCAAACACTTTTCCTTCCCAATGGCACATTGTTATCACAATCAATGTGGCCCAACTAGAGTGTTTGACTATTGCCTGCTTTGTGATGGTTGTTGTTGCAAGTTAATTTCCCATGTTGTGACCTTCATATGATCTAAATTTTGAGATATTTTAAGAGAAAAGTGAATTGTATTGTCAGTTTCTAATTTCTACTTTACTTTCTGATCTCCTGTCAATACATTGATGGGGATGTGGGGGACCTGTTTTCAATTTTCTATTCAACACTGATGATAATTTTGCAAAAAGAAGCTTATTTACCTTAGAAGTATTTCTCTTTGATGAAATTATTATCCAAGTAGATAGCAATGTTACTATTAGTAGCAGTTCTGCTGATTGCATGTTGATTTAAGATTTTACATATTACATAATTATATTATGGTTGACACTTGATAGATGCTTTGATTCCTTTAGTTTCATCAGTCATCATAGCACATAGTACAAACAATGTAGCAAAATCCCACTGGAACTTCTTTCTGTGAATAACAAAAGGAGTTAATTAATAGCACATAGTAGGTATTCCTTGTGTATTTGTTGAGTGAATGAATTAATGCATTTAGAATAAGCGCATAAATAATTTCTTTTCTCCATGAAACAAAAATAGACATGGTTCTGTGAAATCTAGGCATGGTTATTTTGTATCAGTCTGAAATTTGGCAAGCTACCAAATGTTAATTTGCTTTTAGCTAGTTGAGATTAAATGTAATTCCTTCCCTGAGCAACCCGAAAGTAAGTAAGCATGAAAGCATTTTCAGACTAATCTGGGAGGAATTGACATTTAAAGGAGTTAGCATTACATCTGTACTTTAAGGCTATTAATTTCATAGATAAATTAACTTCATTACTCCATCTTTATCTTGCATTTTGAAAGGACTCCATCAGCTGGAGGACTGAAAATGGAGGGTCAATTGAAACTGCTCTTATCCCAGCCAGGTTGTAACTGGAACCTGCTTCTGGAAACCCTACTGAGTAATGACGGTCTTTTACCAAGAATCTTGTTGCAGAGCTCAAGTGAGTATTTGTAGTTACAAGAATGTCCTCAAAAACCCACTCATTGCTTGAATGAAACTTTTTTCCTACTGAAACATTGGCAGAAGAATGTAAACCAACTGCATATATCAACAGGGATTAGCAGCAGGCAAACTATTGAATTGATTTACCAACCTATATAATAATTATTTTTTTCAGGGACTCTGAATGAGGGGAAACAATATTTTTATATGACACTCTTCTATCACAACTACCATTATATAGAAGTACTTCAATAATCAGGGATTGAGATGCCTAAGGAAATTGGAAGAACACTGTTATATTTTTTAAAGCATATGCCTGAATTAGATAATAAATAAAGAGATAAAGAGGGATTGCATTAAAGCAATACTGGAAATTTTAGTGTATCTTAAAGTGTGCTTATGCAATTTATGAATAAGCAAGCTATAGCTTACTGCCATATCCATTGGCACATGGAGAAATAAATAATTTCTCCAATGGAAATTGAGGTGTAATAGAAGACTACACTTAACTAGGTTTCCTTTTTTCCCTATAGATGCTATTTTAGAAAATGGCAAGTAATGTTGTGCCAATATTATATTCCATTGTGCTTCCTCTCAAATATGAAGTCTTCTAACCATGTTAGATTAGTCTTATGAATAACTAGTTTCACTAGAGGTTTCCTTAATCAAAATCTTTTTTTCTCTCATTTCTCATCACCGGAAGGACTGAATCCAGATCCTGAAGCCATTGAAATATGACCCGAGACTATTTTCCTAGCCTTTATTCCAGTTCTCCCTTTCACACACTACCCACCCACTCAGCCCTTTTCCAGTCATTGTTGCTGAAGCCCCATGCATGTATTTCCTCATCACCTGTGCTCACCTGTTTTTCCCACTTAAAATCTGTTCATCAAGAAACTTGGCCTCTGCCATTTTTCAAGGGCCAGAATACTCTCCTCATGCTGATTTCTTTTGTGTTCCAGGTCTCTGAATACTCTCCTCATGCTGATTTCTTTCTCCCTTGAACACCACAGCATCCCCAACCTTGTCTAGTTCATCTGTCCTTAGCATTCTCTGCCTGCTATTGCTATATTTGTGTATGAATGAGGCAAACATCTCCAGGTAATCCTCTTGGTATGAAACTGAGCTTCACAGCAATCCCCTGTCCAAATTGCTCTAGTCATTTCCCGTAATTTTTGACTTCTCATATCTACTCAGGACCAGTTCCCCAAATGCTTCTCACCCATCCACCTTCACATCCAGTTTCTCAAAAGTCATTTGGGAGAGGCACCTCTTGTGAGAATACTGCTTCTTCCCTGGTGATCTCAAAACCATAAAACCATGTGGTGTCTTAGTTTACCAGAACTCCCCAGGCCTCACTGTGCTGAAGCACAGGTGCAGAGGTTATTTCTCTTCCAAATACTGAATTCGATTTTTTCCTTTAGTCCTGAAGCAATATTGTACATCACAATGTAGCAAAATCCCACTGGAACTTCTTTCCATGAATAACAAAATAAAATTTATTTCTTTAAAATAAATAAATATTTTAAAAGGAAAAAAGTGCAAGTTTCACCTGAAAGTACTTTCCTTAGCTTCAAATTGCAACTCCAATTTCCTAAGGGGAAAGTGGCACTAGGAAAAATTCTTTATCAAATAATAGCATTTTATGTACATATTTGGTGTCAGGCAGGGTGGTAGGCCCTTTACATTGTCATTTAATTATAAGCCTATAAACTTTATACTATTGTTATCTTCATGTTAAAAATAAGAACATTGAAGTTTTAGTTGAGCACGGAGGTACACACCTGTAATCTCAGCAGCTCATGAGGCTGAGGCAGGAGTACTGCAAATTCAAAGCCAGCTTCAGCAACTTAGTGAAGCCCTAAGCAACTTAGTGAGACCCTACCTCAAAAGAAAATATAAAAAGGGCTGGGGATGTGGCTCAGTGGTTAAGCAACCCTGGGTTCAATTTCTGGTACAAAAAAAAAAAAAAAGACAAACAAAAAATAAAATAAAAACAAAGAACATTGGAGTTTAGAATAAATAAAATTGGCCCTGTGTATCTATAGGTTCCATATCCGTGGATTCAACAATCACAAAGTATTCAGGAAAAAAAGTTGTATGTGTACTGAACATGTACAGACTTTTTTCTTGTCCCTTAAACAATAAAGACTAACAACTATTTTTATAGCATTTACATTGTACTAGGCATTATAAGTAATCTAGTGATGATTTAAAGTATATGGGAGGATATGCATAGGTTAAATGCAAATACTGCACTGTTTTACATCAGGAACTGGAGCATCTGAAGATTTTATCCTCTGAGCTTTCAGGAAAAGTGGCTGCATGACATGAATAGTATCTGACATGACTGAGACAGTTCCTCTGATACAGTCATTGAAACTCACAGGCATAATCCTTTAAGAGAAATGGTCTTCTTTATAACATAGAGTTATCTAGAACAGACAGGAAAATCAATTGAGATCAAACCTTTTCACTGTATTGATACAGCCACTAAGTATAGGATGAAAAATTATAAATATTTAACTATGTTTTCTTACAAATGAATCCCCTATTTACTTGTCAAATATATAACATCTGCCTTCTGGTATGTATACTATGATGCAGTTTTGAACAGAGTTATAGTTATCAAAGGTACCATATTGTACACCTTCAGTTGTGCTTCTTTTGAGCTACAATACTATATTTACTTAACCTAGTCAAATACCCATCACTTTTTACAAAGGCTATTAGGTTACATGGCTGATCTGAAATTGAATTTCACTAGCTACTTCAAATACCATGAAGATGAAGTGACAGAATTTACTAATCAATTTATTGACCAACGTATTAAGTTCCAATAGAATTCCTGTCACTTTAAGTTAGAAACAAGATACTCATGGAATCTTATTAACTATAATAAGATAGAAATTATTATGTACATTAAAATTAATTAATTTCTAGTATTTTTTGCAAGAATTTTCTTTTCATTTGATTAAAAATCTCAGAATTTCAGAACTCTGTTTGGTAACTTAGAAGTTTAGTCATTTTTAGGGAAGTAAAATTTTGGAGTAAAATACTTTGAACTAAGTATTTTAAGCAACATAATCACCAGGTTCTTATGAGGGAGTTTTTCTTATAAATAATGCTTTTTTGGTCTAACTGATAAAATTTAGCTTTGCATTAAATTGCCTCAGGAATTAAGAGTACAGAGATAGTAAGTACATGTTTTAAATATACATATTTTAAAACAATTCTCTTTGTTTGATGGTCATTTATTGAATCCCATTAGGTATAGATTTTTCTTGATAAATAACCATATAATGTAAGATTAAATCTATTTATTGCATAGTGAGAGTGATGTCTTTGGCTTTGGCTTTTGTTCTATGAAAATTATTTATCAGAATTTCTTTTTTTTTAATCAGGTGAATATGTAGGGAAATGACCACCCTCCCTGGGGATCAGAAAATAGAAAAATTAAACAAATAAATGGTAAAATTTCAATTTATAATATATGCATCATAGACTGCAAGCTTCAAAGAAGTAGAATCATGTTTTTGCTATGGGTAATAATTTCTCTTGTACTAAAATAGTATTTTGAGGCAATGATTACATTGTTAAAACTTGATAAAAATTAACCAATTTCAATGGAGGTGGTTTAAAATAACACTCTTTTGGTTCAGTTCAGATAGCATGATACAATGATGTTTGTTTGTTTTATGTTAGTCTATCTTGAATCCAAGTGGGGAAAACTCTGAAATACAAATGTTTATAGAAGATTTTTAAATTATAAGGCCTTATTTTGGATTAATGACTAAAAACATCCAGGTGTGATGGCACAGCCTGTGATCCCACCAACTCAGGAAGCTGAGGGAGGAGGATCACAAGTTTGAGGCCAGCCTTAGCAACTTCATGAAACCCTGTCTCAAAATAAAAACTGTTGGGATGTTCAGTGGGGCTGTAGTTCTGTGATCCTGGGCACTAGAGATACAGGGGGAACCATTTTGTTAATTACATTGCTGAGGCTACATGATTTTATATAGATTTCTTACATGTGGCATCCAAGGAATTAATATGTGGCAATTTCCCAGTTTTCAGCAGGTGACCTTTTCTGCTACTGATATTTGAAGGAAGTATGAATAACATGCTTTCCTTTGCCTGTTGGCCCAAAAATGATTCACAGTGAAACTTCTTGGCTTCTGTTGATATTCAGGTATAATATAACAACTACAAATTAGCAAATACATAGTATTTAATATGTTTCAGACAATGTTTTTAAATGCTTTAAATGTGTTTACTCACTGAAGCCTCCTACCCTCTCTGGGTGGTAAGTACATTTATCTCCATTTAACAGGTGAGTAAAGTGAGACATGGTGAAATCCAAGTTACATACCTAGTAAATGGCAAAGCAGGATTGCACCCAGCCAGATGGCTTCCCAAAGCTATGTTTCCAGTCTATACCACATGGCCTCCAACAGAACTGCAGAATATTTACCAAATAGCAGTGTCGCAAAATCCATGGGATCAATCAGGAGCCTCAGCAATGGATAATTTTGATAGTGTGTTTTGTATTTTTTAACCTGTCACAAAGTGCCTAAAGATAATCAAGAAACAAAGAAATTTCTAGCTAATGGACTATTACTATTACCAACCCATGGTTGACTTAAAATGAATGAATTAATCAAATTCTCTTATCATCATGTTTTCTTGATCTTTTAGGTAATATGAGGCATATTATGTCAGAAGCTTGGTGTTTTGTTGTACATGGTGATGGTGGTGTGTGTATGTGTATACCATTTTATAGACATGACCAAAGTGCCATTTTATGACCATCTTAAAGGAGGTGACCTGAAGTGAGAATATACTCCTACTTGGTATTCATAGCTCACCTAAAACTGATAGTATGTCATAGTCTACTTTAACCAGTAACAACATCTGCACTAGAGGACTCTGCTTTGTTCACTAATTTCTTCTTCATTAGATTTGTTCTTCATTCTTACCAGAAATAGTAGAATCATA